AAATACTACAAGCTATAAATAAACTGTTGTTAGATGCCATGTCTGTCAGCTCAATTCAATGTGGGAGGGACCATTTTTCAGAATGTATTTTTAATTACTTACTATTGAGGCCTAAGTAAATTCTTAATCATTTTCTGTCAACTTCTATTTCCGTCAATCAATTGCATAGTCTTTTGTACGTTGACAGTTGACACCCTTCAATGTTCCCAAAACAACCTAACCATTTGATCAAGAAATAACAACCACCACCCTCAGTCAAGCTAGCACACAATAAGCTAGCAGCCAACAGTCGGGTTGCCAGTTAGTGATACCCTGACATTTTTGCCCAGTGCTTGCCCCATGGGTATTTTTTTTTAGGGTAATCCAGTATTTTTCTAGTAAGATTGGGTGTCTATACTTTCCATATACCAGTATACCAAATTTGCCATACTCTTACTGGATATAACCACCTGATAAATACCTTCGAGACAAGGTATCTTTAAGAAAGAGTTGTTCACAAAGTGTTTGACAGCAATCCTATAAGCTGACATATAACAAGTGTAACATGTACTTTTACTTATTATTAAATTATACACTGACTAATACATGTATATGAATGTACCGGACACATAAGTTAATTAACCTTTCTGACATCTACATGTTTTACATACATCATCTTTATTGTTTCTTTTCTTCCCTACATTTTGTACCAGCCAGATTTGTACAAGTTTTCCTTATTAATCTATACTCTATTTCTGTATATAAAAGGTCAAATCAAATGAAATAGTTACATACATGTACATGTATAGGACAGAAAATGAATATGCCCATCATCAGTCTTATAAAGGGAGGCAGCGAGGTCCTTGTTAAAGACATTAACGGAAGTTGCCCAAAGAATCAATAACTTCATGTTAAAAATTAATAAAAAACCTGGAGATTTTGAATGTGTACCAGTATTTTGGAAACATGAGCAAAGATTCTTGTCAGATTGACAAAATAAGCTAATCTAGAGTTCTTACAGTGGTTCTGATAATAGGGGCAATATTTCTGTTTACAATCAATGAGTGAGTGACAACAATGTAGGTGTATAGAAAAAACATTGATTTTGAGAAACTCCTTAAAAATCCTAATGCAAGAGGGTATTTATTTCCTTTGTTTATTATATATATTTTGTCAAAGACTCATGATTCTACATTATATATCATTATCTTTTTATTTATACTGTTTACAGAAATTAACATACTATTTCTAATGATATACCTAAAATTTACTTATATTACTGTATATAATATTATACTGAATATACACAATATTGCCATCTTGGTTTATGGACATCAATTTTGTGCTCAATGGAGTACAATTTCAGCGTAATCCTTTCTCATTACTACATGTAGTTGCCGTAGGACAATCCCCGAAAAATTTGACGGTTGTAATTTCCTTATCAAATAAGTCCATTTACGATAGTTTGATGCCATTTATGATTGTCAGTAACAGTTATTAGGGGTGTGAATTTGATACTTGAGCATACATGTACTGTACACATTCAAATTCAATAGGACAGGATTAACAGAATTACTCTCTTTTCTGCTGGAAATATGAATATGTATTGATCAACAACGATTTCTTTCCTTCTGAAATTAAAACGGGTCATGCAACCTTTTATTTTTATCTGGTCGTAATTCTAATAATAAATGCTTGAATTAGGTCAGACTAATTCAAAATATTTTCTAAGTGAAAGTGATCATGCCACTTTAAGATTTGGTAAATAATATCTTTTGTTGTATTGTGTTTTGAAACGAAGCTCAGCTAAAATAGTCACAATAACAAATGTCTTTAAATGCTGCTTAGTCAGAAGAAAAGCAACCGGTAATGCTATAAGCCTTTAGGACTCTAATTGACCAAACATGTTTTAAAAACATACACCTAAAATATTTAAATTTGCCAAAGCATTGTGTATAACAATCAACAATATTACCTGCAAGATAACAACTATATGTCCAGTCTGGCTGTGGTAAGCCTATCAACTGACCTACTATATAATGATCGGCTTATATATGGGTTCAATTATTGATTAACTGGGAATAACTAGAGCAGAAAAAAACGAGCACATAGCCTGGCCGGATATAATATATTATCTATTCTAGATATAATATAGATAGCCCTTACTGTAGCATATAATAAAGCCCTTGTCCTTGTGATAATTACCAGTATTAACGGATAGTATTCATTTACATTTTTTCACCCCAAACTTTTGTCTATGCTCGAAATATGATGTGACTAAGATTTTGGTAGATACAGTTTAATATTTGTTGGAATTCAAAAGCTTTTAATTTCCATTTTACATTGGTTTTACACATTGGCTGATGATCATAAATTGTTTAGTAAATTAATGCTATCATCAGTGACATAAAATAATATAATACATGTACTATTTATAAAGTATGTTAATAATGAAATACACATTTTTCTAAGTAAGGTTGTCATCTTTCACTGATTATTTACACATCGAGCTTTTGAAACAGGAACGATTTGAGTTGAGATTTAAAACAGCCGACTTTCGTTAGTTTTTTTTATTGGTTGTGGTAGTTTACTCCAGAGAAAGGGTTCTCAAAGGAAAAAGCATGTTTTCAAATTGGTAGGTTGACAGCTGGGTTTTTTTCTGAGCAGAGATTTCTGCGGATAGAATAGGGGTCAAAAAGATTCTCACGCAAGATGGAGCCTGGACATTTCTCAACTCAGTTCTTGGATGTATTGGGAACAGTGTAGGATTTCTGAAAAGGGGTGGCCAAAAATATTGAAATAAATTAATATTAAAGTACCCAATGCACTCCTCATAACAATCAATGGGATTATTCACATAGATTTTCCTTTAATCTTTTTAATTCATTATTATCGGAAATCAAAATTTAAGAGTGCCAAATCATGATATAAACTCAGCATCACGAATGGGATGGTTCCTTTGAAATCACAAGTTTTGATGTAGACAACTAGATGCAAGTACAAACATGTAGAGAAAGAAAGGGGCAACTCACCAATAATACTAATAGTTAACATGTGGTGTATGAACATTAACTGATGAACAAGTCAGATAATTGTCTGTTTATTATCACTGATCTAGTCACAGGTAAAAACATACTATATCAAGTCTGTTATTGTTATTATAGGTAATAAACATATCAGTTGATACATTCCATTACAATATGATGCTAATTATTTTACACTTGTACCTGAGAATAATAACACAATATAATATATTCTTAGCGTCATTTCAGTGCTATAGGAATCGTTCAATTCCCCGTTCAATGTTTACAAAGATATGTGGAATTGAAATTTAATTGATCTACATGTATGCTGTATGCTATGTAATAAGTCTACCACCATTTTGTTGTCCATAAAATTTATTGATACTCACTGACAGGCATGTTTTAGTTCTGATTGAGTCCAAGTCAGGGAAATTATCTAACACTGGTATTTTAATTGTTTTCTTAATTAAATGTTAAATAATCAATCAGGTGTATATGTTAGGCTGGATTAAGCCATGAGAAATTTGATATCATAGAGAAAAGTGCAAAGTCTGGAATTTACTTTGCCCAATTATTCATCTGATCCAAAACTGGAAAACCGCTATTACTCAGTAAGTTCTGCTGTTTTGTATGTTGATAAAATGCCTAAATTAGAATGAATTACCTAACATTTTATCCAGAATAATGTAATAATATGGATTGAAAAGTAGCTCTAACACTATCTGCTTAAAATGACATGAATTCTTTAATGGTTAAAAAAACTAAATATCAACCTTGATGCACAAATCGCCGAGAAAGTTCATCCAGATTTTCCGACGTGGTTTCCCCCTTGTTATTGGTGCAGGAAAGAGGGCCTAACAAGGACAGCTGTCTATTCGTTCGGATGTGACAAAAAACTGAGATCCTGTGTATACATTGGCATGCATGTAAAAAATCCCTAATGTACATGTAGCAAAGAGATATCAGTCTTCGATTTATAAGAAAAGATTGTTCTCAGCGAATAAAACCACAAGGCCGGTTTTGCCACGATCATCTGGACCACCTGTCTTCATTGATGGTTTCCAATGTTTATCAAAAAAATCTTCAATTCCCAGCATGAACTACAACTAAAGTTGCCTAAATAAATATTTAATGTACTGTATTAAAAAATGCCAAACTCCCGTCTTCATTAGCCCAGTTTAGGAGCACAACAGTAGGACGTTAAACCCCATTTCATTTCATTTCCTTGGGATTGGAAATAGTTATACTGCATTTCCACACTGTTCTACAAGTTAAATTTCAAATGATTAGGTTTTATTGAATTTTAGAAAATGCCAACTGCATAACATGTCAAGACTATTGTATTGCCAGCATTCTTCTCAATATTTCCTCTTTAAGACACTTACAGACTCCATTGTTTAAGGAGCTAAATCGCTAATATTTGAGACCTAGAAATTGACACAAATGGTTCGCAAAGCATATAATAATGTAATATGAATGTATACAACTGATTTACATTCAATAGTTTCTGATTTTACTCTAATTTCTTATCAGTTATGTTCCGCGAAATACGCCAGAAGTCTCAATCGAACGAATGGCAATCTCTGGGGGATCTGGCGCCTGGTTATTCCAGTCTACACCGATGGTATTAATTGTGCATGCTCTCCAGATAAGAATATGACGTCACCTTTTGACATAACTTGTTGAATATGTCTAGCCTCGTTTTTCTAGCCCCTTGTTACAAATGGTGTTGAAACGTATTATGGTACACGATTCGTGTACCGTGTACCAATGGTAAAGTGTTTATTTTGTCTTAAATATTGGATATCAGAAGCCCATCTTTTCCCGGTAAGATCACATCAATGCTGATTTAAATTGGCAAATAATTCGCGTTTTGAATGTCGAAGATTTTGGATGATATTGAGTTAGAGACTTAGCTACTTTAAGCAATAGATTTGTTATTGGCTTTATTTAATGTGTCATATAAATTATAGACATTAATATTTCATAATAACTTACAGATTTTAAGCTGTAATGACTGACATCACTCCTGTCTCTGTGTTCATAGATCCCAGTAAATGACAAAGAAATCTTTATAAAGTCTGTCTGCTCACTACAAACAAAATGGCCAATTAAAAACTACACAAAAAGATTATGCCAGCTGCTAAAATAGTCACATAAAAGGAAAATCACAGTGAAGGAGACACAAACTTCTTGTGCTATCTCACTTCTGCTATTGACTGACTGACTTCAAATTTGACTGGCAGGGAAAATCGGGTCAATTTTCATTCTATTTATTCATATTACAGGGCCTATTGGTTTGTTAGTAAACATACATGTAGACTGGCAAATCCTTGACATCATCCCTTCTACTAATCAAATAATGCTGGGAAAAATGACCTGTGTCAGGTTACTGATAATACATTAACTGACAGCTAATTAGATAAATGATATCCCTGATTAATATATATTAACCTACTTTCATACCTACCATTGTTGTACATACATACATGAATTTTCAATTTACAGCAAAACCACTCAAAGTGATGAGCCAAAAATGCTCATTATCGAAGTTAGTCAAGGTATTATTATAATGAAACTATACACAAAGTTTCATCACTCTCACTTAATTAGAACTAAAGTTATCCCAAAGCATCAACCAATCAAATTTCATATCTCTGCTCAGCCTAAGCTGAAAATGCTCATCTTCGAACTCCATGAAGGCATCCACCTAATAATTGCACCTACACCAAGTTTGAACATTCTAGCTCAATTAAGTGAGTTAATTTGTCCCAAAAAGTGTGACGGACAGACAGACCCATTTTAATACATGTAGTTCCCTGCTTTCTCCGAAAGGCAAGAGACAATTAAGATTATTACAGATGACTTAGTAAATTTACTCAATAATTAAAGTGTTCTGTTTTATGTATTGCTCATATTTAGCCAGTTTTTCTGACTAACAAATTTCATTTTTGTTCTATTGTGTGTACTATATTTCTCCTGCACCTGGCGAAATGACGTTTCTAGCACCAGATGTATTAATAGCAGATTTGGTGCCTATAGATGTCAATCCAATTCATTCATTCATCAATATATTCAACCTAACATAACTAAATTAAATTCACCTTTCAGCGACCTGTTACAAGGTTTTAAAGCCAACAGTACTAGAAATTAATTAAACATGGATTTGCTGTGTCTTAGATAGTGATGCTAGAAGACAGCTGTTGTTAAGATCACAAACAACAATCTTTATTCTACAGGTCTGAAACGTGCTGTTAACACCTGACCACACATTAAACAAACATTATATACTAGAGACACAACAAGATCCTGATTTAACACCTTAAGTGAAATCCTGTCATATCCCACACAAAAAAAGCCTGTCCCTTTTTACTTAAATTTTTCGAGAACTCGTACTGACAATTTATGACAGACACAAGAATGGTCATTATATATATAAAAAAAATGTTTTTAAACAGGAATATTATTAAGGCACCACCTACAAGAGTTATAGGTTTTTTTCCCACAGAATTTAATATTTCCCAGGTATATCATGAAGAACAGTAGGTTGCGAGAAAGGTACATGTAGCTGAGGTGTCTTTGAGGCAAAGCATTGAAGTGGGTTTTAAAGCAAGAGATGCTTAAAATTGGGTCCATTGCAAATTAATAGGGTGGGAAGAGTGGGGGGGGGTAGTCATGTTAGACACAATTTTGGCTTGAGCAATCAAGACTATTAGCAGCCAAACTGAGAATAATTTGTAAGATGGCAGTTAAATATCGATCTGGTGATAGTTTACTAACAAGGGCAGAACATGGACATCCTACTTTTCTGTTCCATCTCGGCTAATGAAGTTGGGTATGTTAAAAAAAACCACAGATATTCTGAAACTGATGGTATTATATATTGTCAGATAGTGAAACTATGGTGGCTCAGTGAGTGAAGTAGTGACTCAGTCACAGTGAGTAAAGTGGTGACTCAGTGAGTGAAGTGTTGGCTTAGTAGGTAAAATGCTGGCTCCCTAACCAGGGGGCCCTGGGATTGATCCCAGTGTTGACCGAAAGAGTCCCTTGGGTTTTTCCAGTTTGGTTTCCCCTTATAAATGGTGCAGATATGTCTTGCAAGGAACATTGCATAGTAATTATGATTGTAAAATAACCCAGTAGTTGGAATTGGGTGGGAATGTCATTGTCTTGGAAAATTTCATATGCCGGTCTTCATTAGCTCAGTTTGTGTGTTTGCTGACACTGTAGAACAAGCAGAATAATATTTTGTCAGTGGAATGGAAGTCCACTGAAGTATTTCTTTTATGAGATTTAAAATCAGATTCAACTGTTTCAAAAGTCCCACATGGCAATATGCCTTTACTTGTGATGAGCACTGTGATTCATTCAATCATTAAGGTTCTTGTGTCCCTTATAAATAAATGCTGTCAATGTAGATCATCATTAAACCCATTATAACTGATCCACGAATGAATTAACAATCTATTCTCTTTAATGGTCAACTTCAGTCAATCTGAAAGTGTAGCCTATTTTAAACTCATCTAAAACATAAATCTGTTTATAACGAATGAAATGCTAAGAGTTGATAAATGCTACATTGATGAGTCAATCATATCTATTTACAGTGGCTTAAAAGTTTTATAAAAAAACTATGAACAATTCCTTAAGAATTCCTGATAAGGGAGGGTTGGTTGAGTCAGTCCAATACTTAATTCAACAAAGATTTTGATCAGAGCCATACTGGGTGTATCAGTTGGTAGCACTCCATTAAATGTACACACTTAATCTTATCCTTCAACTTTGGTATTAAAAATAGAGCTTGGAGTGAGAGAATGGATAAATATTTTTGATATAATATCTTACATTATAGTATATCACCCCACCCTTAAACTAATATATTTTACCTACATCAATTATTTCCTACATTTGGTAGACACAGTCTATACTTACATTATATTATACACTACATGTATGTATTGCCTCGACGTAAAGCAGATTAAAGAATAGGCATCCAAATTTTTTCTAAATTCTAATAGATTTTCTACACCAATGGACCGATTTCACATCTGTGTATACATTTTGGATATGCTACAACAGGTACCAATTTGGCATTACCCATTTTTCATCACTGACTTTTTATCAATGAATTATCTTGGTTCTGCATGTTGGTCATTAGCATGAATAAACATTTATCCATCACCTGGATGTTTAAAACACCAAAACCAAATGAGTTCATTCACATCAGCAAAAATTAGAATGATACCTAGTAATCAGATATCAGATCAAATCAAAAAAGCAAATCTTCAATGTTGAGATAAGTTGTAAATAGGTCAATTTATCAACTACCGTATCTGTACTTTTCATTTTGAGCTACAATAACTTAGTTCAACACAAACCTTTTTTTTATTCATTTAAACTAAGCACAAATTGACCCCATGGCAGAAAAAAAAGTACTGTTCCAAACATTATTCAAATTAACCTATTCTAAGTAATGGCTACCTGAAGTTTACATTAATTGGTATTAATGATACATTGTATATGAAATGGAATGAGGTTTAACGTCCTACTGTTCTGTTTCATTGGCTAATCCCTCACTTCAACCAAAACGCCGGTAACAACTCTTCCAGATCCTAGTGTAGTAAAGACAAGTAAAAAGAAATTTCGAACTATAAAAAAGAAATAGGATCTGTGTTTTAATCAGATTGGCTTATACAAACTGACAAAATGAAATCAATATGACAAAAGTGGAGCCTCAACTTTCTGCCGGATATCAACCATTACAATAGCCAACTAACTGGCAAAAGTTTGGAATATCTGTTAAGCAAAGCAAAATTTTAGAAACTTGGAGGAAGCAGACTTTAATAATCACACACACAAATCGTAGGCCTACAGTAGTATACAGCCATAACAAGACATTTCAGTCCAGTTTTGTCTATGTGGTTAAATGATTTATCAGTTATAACTGCCTATACTTTCCTATATATAACATAAAGCACTGTTTCATGTATAGTTTATTTTTTTTTTTGTCTCCAGTAAATATCCAGATTTCTTTTTAACAGAGATGTCACAATCGGTTTTAAAGAGACATAATGATCGAGACTTGGTTTGAAGTTTGTCATATTCGTTTGACCAATAGTATTGATGTAAAAGCTGCTTTTTATCTAGCTCTAAAAGTAGCGATTGAAGCTCTATACATACAACCACATTATTTAAAGTAGCTAAGTCTCTAACTCAATATCATCCAAAGTCCAAAGTCTTTGACATTGAAAACACAAATTATTTGTCAATTTAAAACAACATTATAAATGTTGTGATCTTACCAGGAAAAGATGGGCTTCTGATATTCAATATTTAAGACAACCAGCGGCTGCCAGGCAGGATACGCCCACATTTTCGAGAGATGGATAGAGAACAAGCTAACAAGAAAGTGATTTTTTCTACAATCAAGGGCCATAATTCAGGAAATTACAATTCGATATGCGCGAATATCGAAAGGAACTGAGATCTTTGTGTTATAAACTTACATTTCAAGTTTCAACAAAATCAGATAAAAATTGAGACCTCTATAGGGTCCACAACCTTGATATACCATATTTTTACGCTATTTGAGAACGAAGGGCGGCCATTTTGTCTGTCAACTTAGGGCCAATTTTCACGAAATTCGAACTCAGTCGTCCTTAGGGTGTAACGGTGATATAATAATACGTTTTTTTAAATCGGATAAAAATTATGACCTCTATAGGGTCCACAAGATAAAAACGCGATTTTTCATACAATCAGGGGCCATAATTCAGGAAGTTACGGTTCGATATGCGCGAATATCGAAAGAAACCGAGATCTTTGGGTTATAAACTTACATTTCAAGTTTCAACACAATCGAATAAAACGTGTGACCTCTATAGGGTCCACAACCTTGATATACATGTACCATATTTTTACGCTAGTTGAGAACGAATGGTGGCCATTTTGTCTGTCAATTTTAGGCTGATTTTCACGAAATTCAAATTCAGTCGTCCTTAGGGTGTAACGGTGATATAATAATACGTTTTTTTAAATCGGATAAAAATTATGACCTCTATTGGGTCCACAAGCTAAAAACGCGATTTTTCGTACAATCAGGGGCCATAATTCAGGAAGTTATGGTCCGATTTGCGCGAATATCAAAAGGAACCGAAATCTTTGGGTTATAAACTTACATTTCAAGTTTCAACAAAATCGGATAAAAATTGTGACCTCTATAGAGTCCACAATTTAAAAACGTGATTTTTCGTACAAACAGGGGCCATAATCCATCGCAAGCAGCCGAGATCTTTTGGAGATAAACCTATATTTCAAGTTTCGTCAAAATCGGATAAGAATTGTGACCTCTAGAGTGTCCACAAACAAATTGTGGACGGACGTCCGGACAGGGGCAACGGCATAATACGTCCACATGAAAATGTGGGCGTATAAAAACATTTTACCACTGGTACACGAATTAGTACCATAATGCATTTCAGAGTCATTTGTAACAAGGGACTCGAAGAACGATGGGCTAGACATATTCCGCAAGTCATGTCAAACAGTGACGACATATTCTTATCTGGACAGCATGCATAGACTGGAATAACCAGACGCTAGAGATTACCATTTGATTGAGACTTTTGGCGTATATCGCTGAACATAACCAACTTGAAATTAGAGTAAAAAACGGAAACGACTGAAAGTAAATTAGTTTATATACATTCATATTATTATATGTGTTGCAACCCATTTATGTCAATTTCTAGGTCCCAAATGTTGCTGTATACAAAGAGGCACATTTCTTACAAATTCACTGTTAAAGGAAGTTTGTGAAAGTAGTAAAGTTTTTTTTATCAATTATTGACATTGTTTTTCTGTACTCTTCCCAACTTTTCATCAAGTTGATGTGTAATGTATTTGTTGAACATGATCTATATACCAGTAATAATATCATGATACATTCTTTGCCATTAATCCTTTCTCTTGCTAAATTTTTGTCTCATTATTCAAGTTTCAACTCTTTAATTTGAAACCAAAACTCGTTTTCTTCCGTTATTATTGTTATGCTGAGGAGATATATAGATCTCTAATTAGTACGTAACTTCTCTCTTAACATGCGATTTTCGACTGTGTTCTGATCCTCAAACATGGGTTTTAAACTTAAAGGTCAAGTCATTATCCTTTTGGGTGAAAAAAGTGAAGTATTCCTGTCAAAAATCTTGACACTTGGAAGCTTCAAAAATAGAGAACAAATATTGACCACCATAAGCTGTCAAACAAACACGAATCGTCAAGGACAATTTAAATTTAAAGAGAAAGTTATATTCTTATTGAAGTACAATATAAAGCTAACAGTTTACTGAAGAGAGCAAAGCTTATCAGTGCAACATCAATTTGATTTTCTGTTCTTCAGGTTCTTGATAAATAAATACTCAACTGAATAACATGAAAGATGTTTTGTTTAAAATTTCAAACTTAAAACTGAAAGCTTTTGAAAAGCACAACTAAGTACCTTCAGTTTTTAAATAAATCTTTCTCACGAAAAAAATAAGATGGAAAACTTTTACATATGTTTCCAAGGAACAGAAAATCAAACTGGTGTGGCCTTACAGGCTGAATGCTCCATATACAACCTTCACCTACTTTAATCATTAGAAATGTAAAAAATAATTCCAGATTCATGTTTAGGATAAAAACAATAATCCCCCCTTCCCCTCCCTCCCTCCCTCCCAAAATAATATGCCCAAAGATAGATTGCCAGGCAACAAAACATACACTCACAGCAGCTAAATCGATCGGGCAGTCAACAAGAGTTGTCACATATTTTTTCTTTTGTCGGTAATGAAACATTTATAATACACTAAAATTTAACAACTCATTAAGTAATTATCAGAAAATAATTAGAATTTGTTTGGCTTCTAGTTCTGCCCCATGCATGGGTTTAGCTGTTCCAAGTTATCAAAAATCATTAAAAATCAATGTATCAATCTAAAAGTCAATCTAATGATTGCTTGGCCTGTACAGCATCAGCAAGATTTTTCGAAGTAATCAAGGGCCATAACTCTGGCAGTAATTATTGGAAATCCTTGATAATACATAGGTGTTTTCATCTCATGTATAAATTTAAAATCAATCGGATGATAACTTTGGTCTCTAAACCATCCACAAGATTTTTCAAAGTGATCAAGGGCCATAACTCTGGCAGTAATTATTGGAAATCAATAGAATTCTTGCTCTCACAACCTTAAAATTGAACTCTGATTGCAAAACTTCAGAAATAATTAAATGAAAAAAGTTAACAGCCTAAACAACTGCCATAACTGTTTTCAATTTGTAGAATAACCATGGCGATTGCTTAAGGGTAACAGTAGCAACACTTCCTTATAAGGAAAGCTATGGGCAAGTTAAAGTGATGTTATTTGGCGAGATTTCACCTGTGATGTCATCTATCAGTGTATGTCGACATCATCAGAATTATTAATCGAAAATGTAGAAGTTACAACGTATTACCACAAAGAAAAACTTATCGGTGACCATTTTAGTGGTCCAATCTTTTGACACTATTTGTGATAGAATTACTTATTTCAATACAAACTGTGATGTGTGTTGAGAATTGTACGTTTGAAGCTCTTTTTACTTGCGCAAAACCTCTTAGACTGTATTGTATATCAATTGTTATTGTTATTGTATCACCACTACAAATATTGCAGCTAGGTCATGGATCACAAGGTACGAAAGTATAGTAGGCCTACATGTAGTGCGATCATACTGTCCACTTTGTAGGCTAATGCTGGCCTACTCGCCTTCAAATAAAATCTTTGGATAGTGATCCTTTCACTTTACTCTCTTCATTAGGCTCATATTAAAGATAAAGGAGCTAAATCGCTAACATTTGGGACCTAGAAATTGACACAAGTGGGTAGCAACTCATATAATACTGTAATATGAATGTATATAAACTGATATACATTCAATGGTTTCAGTTGTGTTACGCGAAATAAGCCCGCAGTCTCAATCGAATGCAAATTTCTAGCGCCTGGTTATTCCAGTCTAGATACGCAGTTTGGTTTGGTGCAATATGTCTAGCCCCGTTCCTCGAGTCTCTTGCTAGAACTGGGGCTGAAACGCATTATTATGGTACACGATTCATGTACCAATGGCAAAATGTTTATTTTGTCTTAAATAATGGATATCAGAAGCCCATCTTTTTCCGGTAAGATCACAGCATCAATGTTGATTTAAATTGACAAATAATTTGTGTTTTCAATGTTGAAGATTTTGGATGATATTGAGTTAGAGACTTAGATCTAGCTACTTTAAGTTTAATGGCAAAGTGAAAGTCTGAAAAAAAATTGCAAGTCCTAGGCCTGATATTTTTGTGTTTGTCTTACTTTTTGGGCGATGCATTGACAAATACACACATATAATGACAACATAAATTACCTGTTTTCTCTGTGTTGCAAAACACGTAAAGCAGAAGCAACAACGTCACTTTATTGGCAAAACATTACCATCATTCCGACAGAAAACCTCTTTGCCTCAAAACCTGGGTTAGAGGAAGAGAAAACTCGCTGAACCAGACACAAAAGTCTGGTTTAATAGCTAATCTTGACAAACAAGTCTATCATATATCAATACACAGGGGTCTGATACAGAAATGACGGTAAGGGTTGTGTTAAAAGGGAGGTAACAAGTCCTAACCACTTGGATAAAGACCAGTAATTATCTTTCTCTCATTGGCTTCAACATTTATACATGTACATGAATTCTATACATCCGCATAATAAAAACTTTGCTATGAATCCCCTACGTTCGAGTCCAAATCAATTAGAAATAGAGAGAGAGGCCGGTTTTAACCATGTTTTGTTGGGCTGTGTTTTTGAACGACCGTGTGATTAAAATAAGAATGTTTACACATAAACCATATATAGCAATAGGCTAAGGTTAAATGATTACTGCTATATGATATAACTTTGATGTGTGGGAATTGTTTGATAACTTATCAACAACTTATTGCGAAAAACACCCCAAATCGATAGTGGTGAACACCAAGCTATTTCTGAAATGTTAACTTTTCAGTGAACGAGTACGAGTTTGATCTGAAATGCTTGACTTTTTTCTTCATGAAATCGGACGTGTTAAAAGGATGAGAAATGTCGAATGGGGTATAATTAAATAAAACTTTTCGACCAGCACATTTGTTCATATTTTTCACTTCAATATGGGCGTATTATGTCGTCACCCATGTCCATGGGTACGCTCACAATTGGCTTGTTAACGCGAGAGGATACCGTTTTAACGGGTCATTTCCTAAGATCATTGAGTCAAGTTGCGTGGTTCCGATTACCCGCTTGTAAGTGACAAGGAGCAGGATCGCCTGCCCAGTCTCGTGTACTTTCACCGGGTCCCCCACTGCTAAAGTCCCCTACGCACAATCGAATTATTGAAATAAAATTGAACTATGTAAGTATGTTAGTCCATAAATGACATAGTGGATGTTAAACCTCCCACCCCGCTCTCTCTCTCTCTCTAAGTTGGTAGGAAGCATTGGGACCAAGTAAGGAAGAACCCTAAAATTCAGCGCTTCGCACCAACTTTAACGCAATAGAGGCTACGGTTTTTAACAGATTGTTTTCAATCTTGGTGTGGAGCATTGGGGTAATAAGCGAACGAACCCTATCTATATTTAGCATTCGGCGACCTTCTTTCCAGCGTTACTCACCCTTTTCCGATGAAATGGGATTTAACGTCATACTTTTCTGCTAAACCGGTACGATGAAGACATACATACGGCACGGATATTGTGCCCAGACATTGACATTTCTGCCTGTCCTTCACCACCAACACAGGGAATCCGGACTTCAAAATCAAATGGAATTTTCAGGGCCTAATTCCCAGATAGAAAAATAAATGAAACAAGAACTTGTTTAATTTTAGGTTTTGTGCATATCATCATAATCTTCAATAAAACAAATTGACCAATAGGCCTACACAAAACAAGGTAAACAATATTATGCAAACAAATACATAATAAATAATAATTGCAGTAATTGAATTATTAAAACAATCTGATCGTCAATTGGGGGATTTGTAATCCGCTGTAAACTACAATTTTGTGAAAGTCTAAACATTATTAGACTCAAAGTGGTACAATTCCGTTCAGTATTTACAAAGATAATGGGGATTGAAAATTATCAATATCCGACATCCTCTGCAGACAATATAAAGCGGCTCAGCGAATATTCACTGCTGATCAGTGTGATAAACGGGATGTAGTCAACGCAAGCCAGAGCCACCTATAATCTTATCTAAAATATTTTCACGAGCGTCTTTTTAATACGATTAAGTTAACGCCGGTTGATTACCTACCATTGATATTTTATTTTGTTTTCTTGATCACAGTTTAAATAATCAATCTGAGTACAATTTAGTGTGAAAAATTTGTCCAAAAAAGGCAAATGACGATCAGCGGATTTGAACTAAATATATACAATTGAAGAAACTATAATTATATAGGTGCTTTTAAAATTTTAAATACATTAACGGAAGAATTTCAGAAAGCACCAACATAGAATATAATATACATGTACTAAATACAACTGTTTGGCATCATAAGTTTAATACAATTATTAAATGCCTTTTATTTATAGTAGAAGTTTGTAGACAACTATATATGAAGAGGCAACAAATACATTTAGTTTATGAAAGTACAATAAATACCAGAAAACTGTCATAATTTTTTATATACACATGTCGCTTTTGGTTGATTTGTTGTGTATTTTCAATCTGTTTGACAGCGGTGTAATGCGATAGCCTTCTTTAAATTCCGTAGAAGATGACATTCCTTTTAAGATCACGTGCAGAATAGGTCTACATGTGACCAGTGGCGGCGCAAATGGGAGGGACAAAGGCAATAGCTTTAAATAAGGCCAGGGGGGCTGGCACCGATTGTCGACATAAATAGAGCTGACAACATACCGTCCGTCGGCTGATCACTAGTTTACCCGACCAGAGAAGAAAGTGTCAAACGAATGGACTTGCAATGGGGACCTTCCCGAGAATATTTTGAAACATCTGGCAGACCAGATACACCCCACCTTTAATAGCACCGCCACTGCATGTGACGTCACATCATACCGCTTTGATAGTACATGCGCTGTTTACAACTGATGCCGTAACACAGACAGATTGACACTGAATTAGTCCCTATTTAGTTTGAATGGGTAAATAAAATAGTACGCGAAGGCATAAAATAAGTAAAAGGCACCAATTCTGTCCGGACCAATTTATGTTACTACGTCCGATGTAAACAATGCACATGTTATCAAAGATGTACGATATGGCGTCACACGAAGACCAATACTGTACGTGATCTTCCACAGAGTTAGATATAGATTAGAATAGTAAAATACACAACTAATCAACCATATCGACACGTCCTGTATAACAAATCATGGACCTTATAACACAATGTATTATAAGGTCCATGAACAAATTAACATTCATATTAAACTATTCCAGATATACAAATAGATAATTATCAGTTAAAAATACTTTGTCATGGTTACCATAGCTTGTCAATTTAATCAATAGTGGTTGAATACAATGTAATCTAAAACACGCATGGATATGCATATTACATTGTATTCTGTTTTCTTTTTCTTTTAATAAATATTGTTTATATGAAAAAAGAATACAATGTTTTTAGATTACCCTAAATGATGTACATCATTTGATAGCATCAAAGACGGTTTTAGATCTACCATACGTATTACGTTTAAACGGACAATGGACTTTGAGTCGTTGATTTGCAAACTACACTTGCTCGAGTGTTCCTCAGCCTTTTTCTTTTTTGCCATGGTTAATGAGCAGCTGCTGCATTTCCACATCCAAACTTTGGAGATTTTTTTAAATCTTTTGTGTTTAGCCAAATGTCTACTAAAGACGTCGAGTTTGCCGATTTTATAGTTACACACTGGACATTTGTATTTTATGCCGACTGTCTGCTGATCACAAGAAGGTCCTGAAATAGACATGACAAAACAAATCTTGATTTCTTATCAATACTTTGGTATGAACATCCCCCGACCAGGATTTCTTCATCGCAAAACTATATATATATATATTTAGGGAAATGATCGAGGTCTTGATAAATGAATATTACATTGCTACTTACTCAAAACATTGACAAATTAAATAAATAAAATTACACTTTAATATTGCAAAAATTAACAAATAATAAATTTTGCTGAAAGAGAAGAAACAGATAATTCGAACATGAGAAATTACACAAAACCCACGAAGACCATTATTACAATGCCCTTGCCTAGATACAGAACCACCACCTGGACTAAACATATCTATACAACTCCCTGAAAAGAAGTCCATTCCCATTTTGAGCCTTGGTTCAACTACCAAATACCAAAAGACACCATCGTCATTACATTGATGCAGAGATCTGCTGTGTAAACGACGCTCATACCTAGATTCGATTAAGTCTAATTTTATGCAGAAAAAAAACAGAAGAAAGGAAAGGTTCAAAAGACTTAAATAACAAATGGGGCTTCAATAGTTCAATATGCTAAATATGAGTACAAAGTTCCATGCAAAAGACTGCTCTGGAAGTGGAAACAATAGATGGACGAATGGACAAAAGGCACCAAATAGCTATTTCTTTTCGTGGATAAGTTCTGCTAATGTGTGAGATAAAGTCGAATTATTTCATTTATTTAAAACATAATCATAAAGAGGTCGTAACTGAACATATATTTTATAAAATGCTATTGTCAGTGAAGCTGCATATTTATTTAAAGAATTAAATTGAGACGAGACACAAGAAACAAATTATTTCATTCCCAAAGTTTTCAGTTTGTGGGCGATAAAATGACTAGATCTTTTAAATCAGGGTCAAATAAAATTGTCACAATCTTTGTTCAATCTTTAAGTTTTAAGTCCATAGATAAAGCCTGTGTTGATATATGGTGGATTGTGCATTTAGCTGTTACCAAGTAAGACAAAACTAAAATTAACAAATAAGTTTCCGCTTATCTCCTTCCAACCAAAAATATAATTGTATAGATCTTGTACGATTACTTTTGTCCTAAATCAAACGAAGAGACTATCCGATTGTAATGCCTTGAACTCAGATTGCAAAAGTGAGTAAATATATGCAAAAATAAATGTTGATAAAATGTAAGAAATGCATTATGTAAGATTTAGATCAAATGATGGCTGTTCTTTCTACATTTGTTTCATTACAGATAATTCAAAATCAATATATTGAAAATTTCATTCCAAATATTTTATTTTGAGCCACATTACTTACTGTTTGAAGCTTTCAAATATATTGTTTATTATATTCTTCAAAAAAAGTAGGGGATGTTGAAATCCAAATACCTATGCAGGTTGTGATATGATAAATAGTCATGGACACTTGACATGCTTTGAGAGTATGTTCACAGATGAAGAACTTATCGCCCCAACAGAACCACTGAGCTGCACATACGACACACAATAGCGCAATACACGTGGGAGAGGTTCATTGTCAAATTTGACACTTCAAGGAAGGGTTGATGAAAACTGCTTCGTGCTGGTTTATGTATCCATATTTGCTTTCCTATCGGTTCTTGCATAAGATTTACTGTTTAGCGTATCTTTGCTTTAGTGTGTTACATTTAATTTGATTGAGAGACATGTTCGTCAACGTCAATGGACAACACTGCAAGAATTGGCCGTGGTACTGCAATAGGAGTGGGTCAGATCGCCCCAAATCGTGATTGGACGGTTGATTAGGAGCATGCCACGACAAATTGCTGAATGTCCGAGGATTGGTGGAGCAATTACTCATTATTAAGACAAAAATCAAAAACGTCCATTTTCACTTTTGACAGTGTATCTCTTTGCGAGTGAAATAGGGCCGTCAGATAAGCCGCCCATATGAACTGTTCATGTTCATGTGTAGGCAATTGGCCTGTTATTAACATACACTGGTTACCTCTAATAAAAACAGCAGTGCATTTCTGCAGTTTTGTATTGTTTCTGAATACCCCCTACTTTTTTTGAAGAGTATATTATTGTAGCAACGTTGCTTGTTAATCGAGACTCAACCTTGCTTCTTCATTTTTAAATTAAATCATTAAATGGCGACAGTATTTTAATCTGTTCACATCTGTGCCACCCGATTGTCTGGAGAGTTGATTATAGGCTTGTCATGTGAATAAATGTCTAAATAATAATTTATATAGCATTTGAAGCCAAAATAAAAGTCTGTCATAATAATAGGAAAATTTAGCTCTTACATAACACATTAGAAGATAATATACTAAATAAGCGATGATCATCTACTCATTCGAATGGAAATTAATAAAGCATATTCTGATGCAAAATATATGATGGCCAACATACTTCCAATGAAGTAATTATATCTTGAATGCACCTGTACGTATCATTAGTGATTAAAAATCTGATTAGGCATTATTACTTTTCATTCCGTTCATGCAGACTTGGCACTTTTATAAAACTTACAATTGATCGATCTTCATGTGCCTGTAAACATTAACAACACCGTCAAAAGTTATTCAATAAATATTCAGTTGACTACTCTATGAACAACAGGTGTTGTGATCAAATGACCATGTTTTATGCGAAAAAAATAGAATAGCTGGCATGACAGCTTCAAAATGTGAACGGATAAGCAAAACATTAAATGGGGCTTAACCCCTACACTGTCTTGATTGAACAATTTTTGCCCCATTCTTGTGTAATTTCTTTATACTTTGAGATTTTTATTACCGGCTTTAGACTCCAAAGGTTGAGTACTTGGTTCTTCTTTCTCTCCAGATAATTTGATCCAATTCTTAAAGTTTCCACAGTGGACATCTTTCAAATGATATTTAACACTGCCTCTGTAAAGAAGAAGTATAATGCAAAGTTATTCTGAACTTTTATTACAAAGACTAGCAACGTATCTACACTGAAAATTCTATAAATTCATGTTCTGTAGCGAAATCAAAATAGGTTCAGTAAGCGTACTATATAAAAAAGACCTCAAACTCACCTGGTATTACCTCTAAATTCACAGTGGCCACAAAGAAATTTGTTTTGGTGATTACAGTTCTCAGATGACTTCATATGGGTACCAGTTTCATTAAAAACACATCCAGAAAGAGTATCTGTCCACAACACTTTCTTCCCCACATGTCGAATGCTCACATGCTTGGCGATATTAAAAATACTTGTAAATAATTTATGACAGTAACGGCAACCTATCTGCATATTACTTTGGCCTAGGGAGGCAGTCGTTTTGGTTTTAACTGCCTTTTTGACCACAAAGAGAGATGGACGTAAATCTCCTTTATGCGATTTCTTCTTTCCTGATAGTTCTGTTGTCGCAAAATCGGGTGTTCCTGTTGTGTCTTCATCACATTTAGTCCTGGCTTCTTTTGCCACATCACTGCCAGTTTCATCAGCCATCATTTCCTCATTAATTGTGCCGGATGTACACAACTCATATGCCGCATTGCCATCACGTGTACACAACCGTTTTGCTGCCTTGTCTTCACTCTCCTCATGAGATTTTCGTTTCAGAGTCATTGTATTTGGTAGTTCATCAACTACAGGTTCATCTTTTGGTTTTGAAATTGATACTTTACTGCCATCAGCTTGAGGTTTATTTTTTGACATCTCATTACTTATGCTGGTTTCACAGTAAAGTAACGGTGTTGTTCCTTCACTATCTCCTAGAGATTTTCGTTTCATTGCATTTGAACTTTCAACCGAAACTTCTGTGTCATTTTCAGATCTACCTACTATTTTCAGTGCAGTTTTAAAACTGGATTGAGGTCTTTGAACTTTGATGTCACAGGATTGCTTATCTGCCTTTCCTTCATCATCCACCTTCGGAATTTGTTTGGTTTCCTTTTTACTGTTATAGTTTACACCAGTTTGTGGTTTATTCGTCAAGGTTCTTTTAACTTTTTTGAAAACTCCCTTAAGTGGTATATCTAGAACTGGCACAGCTTTGAAGTCCACATCTCCATGATGAAGAACATTACTGTGGATTTCAATTTGCTGAAATGAGTGAAATTTCACAGAGCATTTATTGCATTCATAAACACTTTCCACTTTGTGTTGCTTCAAGTGTTTTTTCATGACCTCTTCATTAAAACTTGTCATGAAATCACACTTTGGACATTTATAATTTGATGGCAGCAAAGATTTCTTTTTCAGCTTAAAATTCATTTTAAGTTTGAGAGGGGAACTACATCGCTTCTTCTTTAAAGTTGATTTGGAACTTTTTGGTGAAGCAACTAGAGTACAATGTGGAGAACTCGACAGCTGAGGATTACTATTATCTTTCATATGAGATACCAGTTTTGCAACTGGAACCATCTTTTGATTCTTTTGATTCTCCTCGTTGTCTTTTAGCTCTGTATCAAATTTAATAAGCTCTGAACTCTCTGAATCAGTCTCATTCTTCTTTCCCGATTTATTCCTGGATTTTTTTTGAGTAATTTTATCTATATTGGTCATAAACAGAGGAGAATCATCAACAGAAGACTTGGGGGGAATCTTTGTTTTCACATTATTAGAATTGTGACGCTTTCTGGCTTTATTTTTAGATAGTTTCTGATCTGCACTGTTGTAATCTACATCCAGCTGATATCTTAAGCCTGAAGATGTTGAAGCCTCGGTGTTACTAGTATCTACTAAATCCATCCGACGACCGTCTGCACGTTCTGGATTCACAGATGTATTGGGACGTTCTGGATTCACAGATGTATTAGTAATTTTATCTATATTGGTCATAAACAGAGAAGAATCATCAACAGAAGACTTGGGGGGAATCTTTGTTTTCACATTATTAGAATTGTGACGCTTTCTGGCTTTATTTTTAGATAGTTCCTCATCTGCACTGTTGTAATCTACATCCAGCTGATATCTTAAGCCTGAAGATGTTGAAGCCTCGGTGTTACTAGTATCTACTAAATCCATCCGACGACCTTCTGCACGTTCTGGATTCACAGATGTATTGGGACGTTCTGGATTCACAGATGTATTAGTAATTTTATCTATATTGGTCATAAACAGAGAAGAATCATCAACAGAAGACTTGGGGGGAATCTTTGTTTTCACATTATTAGAATTGTGACGCTTTCTGGCTTTATTTTTAGATAGTTCCTCATCTGCACTGTTGTAATCTACATCTAGCTGATGCTGATATCTTGAGCCTGAAGATCTTGAAGCCTCGGTGTTACTAGTATCTACTAAATCCATCCCACGACCTTCTGCACGTTCAGGATTCACAGATGTATTAGGACTTGCATTATCTTTGGAATTGAGTTGCTCTGAATATTCTTTTTCGCTCTTCTTGTTTACAGTTATTGAAATTATACCACTTGAACCACGAACAAAGAATTTACGACGTGGTTTTAGTACAGGTTTAGGATCAACATGGTTTATACTATTATCCACAGTCTTTGTAATTGTAAGCAAAGATTTTACTCTGTCTTTCATCTTGTCCGAAAATAGAATGCTTACATCTTCCACACTGTGTTCATCCTTCACATGAGAAATAACTATAGCTAATTGTTTAGCTGAAAATGCACACTTCACACATTTAAATGGAATGTCTATATGGTAGCATATGTGAACATGCAATGCTTTCTTAAATTTAAATGATTTCTCACAAACTTTGCAAAGATATAAACAGTTTTCATGTTTGTACAATTCTGAAACAATGCTATCCAACATATCAGAATCTTTGCCATTTTGAGAATTTACCTTAGATGCAGGATAAACAATATGTACCTTTTTGTCACTATCAACCATATCTGTACCAGAAGGCAGACGGGATTTTGATTTTTTGGTTCTAGAACGGTTGTGTTTTTTGAGATGTTCAGTTAGAACAGTTTTATTAACACATTTATAAGCACAATCTGGACACTGAATTACTTTTGATTCTAATACTACAGTTCCTTCAGAATACATATCTTTGTTATCACAAGACACATGATGATGTTCTTTCAAATGACTCATAATGTTGCTGTACACATTGGATTTATATTCATCCACATTACATCCATAAAGGGTAAATGAGATTTTATCATCATGATGCTGTAAGTGGTTCTCCAAATCAGCCAGTTCATTGAAAGTTGCTGGACAGATTGTACAGCAGAAGTCTTTTGGGTAAGTGGATATTTGACATTGGTTATGTTTGGCAATATGGTTATCAAGAGATGTACTTCTGTTAGCCACAAACGAACAAAAATTACATTTAAAACCAAAATCATAGGATAATGAATTGACTTCATTTCCACACACGGCTGCTTCTCCATGTTCAACATCTTCTGTCATTTCTGAACATAGGGTAAAGGGTTCTATTTGTTGGGTATTTTCAGCAATGTTTTTGTTACAGCATTTGTTTGTTTTCAGATCTTTTGAGCTGTAATTTGCGTTCTTACCATTTTGTGAACTGCATGAGATATGTTTGTCACTTTCTGCACAGGGTATATCATTTTCATCACTTTCTAAGGTCTGTTTGCTAATTTTGTCACTTTCTAAAGCCGGTTTACTATATTTGTCACTTTGTAAATCAGCACTAATTTCCTCATTCTGATGTCCCAAATCTTTGTGAGTTTCACAAGAGACACTTGTTTCACAGTCTATTGCTTCCAAAATTTGGATATCATCATTGTCTGAATCGGGGTTATCCCATTCATTTTGTATATGCACCATCTTCCCAAAGTTATTTTCCATTCTTGCTTTACATATAAGCTGTTTCAGCACTGAAACCATTCGACCTTTGTTAGGATGATGCCTAGAAATATGATCTAAAATTGACTGTTTATCTGTGGATCTGGCACGGCAGGTTGGACAGGAGACAATTGTGAAGAAACTCGACTTGTAATGTTGATGTAATTCTTCTAATGTAGCAAACTGTTTATCACAATGATGACATTTGTGATCGTAATCTTCATGTGTTTTCAGATGCTTTATAAAGTCATTTAAAGTATTACACTGATACAAGCATCTCTTAGAGAGACATTTAAAAGCCGGAATTCTAGGATTAATGGGTTGTGTATGGCGTTGCAAATGTTTAATAAAAATTTCTACAGCCTTAGATTTAAAACCACAATGGACACACATAATTGACCGTTGGCGATGTTCTGATAACAAATGCTTTTTGAACTTCATATGTAGAAGTGTAGAAAACCGACAACACGAACATGCATACAATTGGGGCTGTTTTGTAACTGGTTTACATTTAAACATAATAGGTTTTTTCTCAGGAACAAACGAGTCTGGTTCTACTACAAATTCAGAAGATATGGTCACATCCACTAGTTTTGGAGTTGCATCACCACCCACATCGCTACAAGAATGTTGTGAAACTTTACTACTTTCTGCTGCATTTACCATTATTTTTGACAGCAGATCCAAACTCATCAGATGTCTCGTAGCTTTATTTTGGGGGGGATCAGGAATAGGTAGCTTATTGTTCTCTTCCCTTATTTTTTGCAATAAAGCTTTAATCTTGCTAGCAATTTCCAGTTTCTTTTTGGCAAATGCTTCAGAAGTCATATTTTTAGGAGTGTTCATAACACCATTATTTGCAATAAACTTTTTCACTATGTTTACTGGTGTGTCTCTTGTGCCTGTTTCTAGCCTTTGTTCAGACTGGGGCTGTTGTATAGAAAGACGATTTTCAATGCTGTTTGACAATGGTTGAATGCTCATTGAACATGTTTCCTGATTTATTGTTACCGGAGATACTGAATGATTATTTCCATTGCCTGTAACAGGTTGATTTGTGGATAAAAGATTGATTAAATGAATTGAAGACCCTGATTGCTGGTGCAAAACCCCATGAGGACTAGTATTGTTCTCAACTTGACTAGAAGCATTAGCTATTTTTGGAGATTCAGGTTGGATCAAACCATTTAATAACATAGATTGTTGCTGTGTTTGTTGAGTAAATTGAGAATGGTTATTTCCATTTCCATTTGAGGATAACAGATCGATTAAAATGGTTGATGATCTAGATTGCTGGGGCAAAACTCCTTGAGGACTAGTATTGCTTTTGACTTGACTGGCTAGACTAGAAGCATTAGCTATTTTGGGAGATCCAGTTTGAATCAAACCTTTTAAAAACATGGATTGTTGCTTTGTTTGTTGAGTCAATTGAGAAGGGTTATTTCTATTCCCATTTGAGGATAACAGATTGATTAAATGTTTTGAAGACCCAGATTGCTGGGGCACAATTCCCTGAAGGCTGGTACTGTTCATGACTTCCTTTTCACTCAAGTTCATTTCTATCTGCATTTCTGACGAATCCATGGATCGATTGGTTGGTGATGTCTGATGATTTTGAGTACTTGTTGATTTATTTTCATTAGAGAACATTTCTTTATGTGATAGTGTTGAAGACATGCGCAATAATCTTTGATGACCTGTATGGTTCATGTCTTGATAAAATGTTGTAGGAGGTGTGGATTGTTCAGGTGATGTTCTTGATGGCGCTGTATTTTCCAAAATAGGAATCTCATTTGAACATATTTTAGTGTCCAATCTATTTGTATACCCAGAATGTTGAACTGACAGTTTTTGATGATTTTTATTTGCCAAGGTTTGAATTTCATTTGAATATGTTTCTTGGTTTACCGTGTTTCCTTGGTTGAATACTGTTGTAGACATGGACTGTGAAGTAGATAGGCTTTGGTGATTTTCATTGGTCATAGTCTGATGACTTTGGTCTCTTATAAAATCAACAACAGGTAAGATGTGCTCATCTTGTTTTACTTTAGTGCTAGAGGTGGTATTTGGAGATGCATCACAAAAATTGGGGTTACCTTGATTCTGTTCCTGTATTTTAGTTGTCTGTAGTGGAATCTGACCTGGATTATTTTTATCTACACTTACACTATCAATAATAGTCATGACTTGTTTAACTTTTGAGCATGTAAGACTCTCCCTATCACCACTGCATTTACCACAAAGCTTTTTTCCTTGATGCAAGTGAAACCAAATATGCCACCAAAATTTTGTCTTCTCTGGCCATTTGGTGTGACAACTAAAACAAATATAATGTCCATCTAAAAATTTGAAAATACCAGTTACCTTTTCTACAATTTCACAAAATGTTTTTACATTTGGAGATAAGCTTACAGGTTTTCCAAGTGATCTATTGTGTGTTAATAACTGATTGTAACCACCCATATCCTCTGATATAGAATTAACACTAGCACCATAGTTATTGACTGATACTGTAGGAGCATGAAGGTTTTCCAAAGCATCATGTTCAGCAGCTGTTCTGGAAGTTGCAACGTCTGAATTAGAAATATTACAACTCGAGTTTATGGATGCAGCAGCATTTGTGTTTATTGATTCTGCAACCGCAACACCACCAGTAGTAGTAGTACAAATATGAGAGTTGGATTCAGATGCTTTTGAAGCTACAGCAGCACTGGGATGATCCCTAGTTTGTGTGATTGCTTCAGAGGCTTTTGAACCTATTGAATTGACAACTGAAGTGGAAGTCACTAATGTAGAATTGAATGGCAGCAGATACAGTGCATTTGAAACTGGAACATATAGGAGGCTACCAACACTGTCATGAGGTCCACAGTGCACATCCAATGTTTGGCTATATTGAGGAGGATAACTTTTACTTTTAGGGCTCTCACAGTTCTGGTAAGTCTTTATATTGCTACTTGTACTTCCACTATTAAGCGAGAGTCTATTTCTTTTGTTGGAAGAGGCTGGGTTTATACAAGCATTTCCAAAAGATCTGTCTTTATGATGTTCGATGTAATCAGTCACAGCTTTGCTAACATTATCATTTGATTGTCTCTCATTGGTTAAAACTACATCCCTGTCACTGGAAGACATAGTGTCTATATCATCACTTGATTTTAAGTGTAGCAATTTTGATGCAATAATTTGGTCACTAGTCTTGCTGGGTTTATGTACATAGCTTTTACTTTGAGAAGTAACTGAGCATATGTGCTTAGCTTTTTTGATACCAATTAGGGTCCATCTTTCTGGGTTACTTTGGTGTGCTTCTTTGTGATGTTTCTTCATATCTTTCTTTCTCTCTAAACAAATTTTACAATAGGAACATCTGTATGGCTTATTTACCAGGTGATGTATAATAAGATGTTTTATGAAACTATTTTCCGTTTCTGTAAATCCACAGGAGCATTTATACTGATCATCACCTGTTTGTTCCACTGAAAAGTCAATACAAAATGGTCTCTCTAAATCTTCATCCATATTTTCACTGTCACCAATGGAGGGGTTATCAGAAGAATGGTCTTCCTGTAAATCATCCAATTCAGTATTAGAATTAATAGAAATGTCATCCTCTGGAACATCAGTTACTTTATTTTTTGGGGTAGCCTCAGAACTGATAACTGAATACTCTTGAAGTGTGTTATGTTCAGGATTTTTTGATGCTTTATAATTATCAACTAATGTATTATGATCTGCCAATTTAGCATAAGAATGATCATTATCAGAAAATTCAGTTATTTTACCAGTTTTCATACTCTCATAATTGTGAACTGAATCCTCTTGAATAGTTTCGAGATTTTCTGATACTTTAGAATTATGAGCCACTGTATTTGGATCCATCATTTCAGCTTCAGAATGGTCACCCTCTGGAACTTCATTAGTTACATCACTAGTTTTGGTAATCTCATAATTTTGAACTGAATCCTCTTGAATATTTTCAAGATTTTCTGATACTTTAGAATTATGAGCCACTGTATTTGGATCCACCATTTCAACTTCAGAATGGTCACCCTCTGGAACTTCATTAGTTAAATCACTAGTTTTGGTAACCTCATTATTGATAACTAGATGTGTTTTATTTTTACAACTTTCTAATGCTTTAGAACTATAAGATGATGTATTTGAAGATTCAAAACAATATTCTACAGGGTCATTAACAATATTTCCAAACAAAGGGTTTTCTGAACTAGAATCTTGTGGGCCTTTCATTGTTTTAACTTTTTCAATTATGTGACATTTTGAGGTATAACTGAGCATAGTGATATCATCAACGTCGTTACTCTCTAACACAGCTTTTGGCAATTGATATTCTCCTAAATGTTTATCGTGATCTTTTTTCTTGGTACATGATAGTAAGGTGGTTTCACAATCAAAGGTGACAAATTGTTTACTACCACCAATTGTTTCCCCTTGTTTTCTATCCACACTAGGTTCATCGTTTATTTCTAATAGTTTTTCACCACAGATTGTTTTCAAATGTTTTTTACTTTCATTATGACTTGTTTTTGGATGTTTGTTACTGTCACTGTCAGTATCAGTATCATTGTTTATTCCTAACAATTTTTCACTAGAGTTTGTTTCCAAATGTTTGTTCTCATCAGTATGACTCATTTCTGATCGCTTGTTTTTGTAACATATTTCTGAAATTTTATCTTCGCAAACTGTTTCATCAGATAACTTACAGTGACTACCACTATCAGTATCACTGTCATTTGTTTCTAACGGTTTGTCAATATTATTTGCTTCAATGTGATCATCACTATAATCTGTTTCAAATCGATCATCACTATAATTTGTTTCAAATTGATCAGCACTATAATTTGTTTCAAATGGATTGTTACTATTATTAGTTTCTAATGGATTCTTACCATCATTAGTTTCTAATGGTTCATCACTAATATTTGTTTTTATTTGTTTATCGCGATGATCTGTTTTTAAGGATTTGTTGCTATCATTTGTTTCTAACTGATTGTCATAACAAATTGATGCTATTTGTTCAACCATGAGTATTGCTTTAATTTGTTTGTCACCATCACTTGTAACTATATTTTTGTTAATACCACAGGTTGCCATTTGTTCTTCAGTTACACATGTTTTTAATTGTTCTTCAATTTCATTTGTTTCTAATTGTTCATGGCCATAGTTTGTGCCTAAATTTTGGATTAAATCATTATGAATAGTTTCTACTTCTTTTTTTGTCATTATTTCACCATCACAATCATTAGTTTCTAATGGTTTCACAGTTTCACTTGTAGCTAAATCTTTGCACACATTGCTAGCAGTTTGTTGGTTACTAACATTAGTTTCTAGCTTGTCACCAACATAAATTTTTAATGGACTGACAGTGTCATTTGCATCCAATCTGTTATTTTCACTACACACGATTAACTGTTTGTTTTCACAACTGACAGTTAACTGTTTGTTACTATCACTAGTTTCTAATGGTTTATCGATATCCTTAGTTTTTAATAGTTTGTCAATATCCTTAGTTTCTAATGGTTTATCGACATCCTTAGTTTTTAATAGTTTGTCAATATCCTTAGTTTCTAATTGTTTGTCAGTAACCTTAGTTTCTAATAGTTCGTCACTAATATTTGTAGTTAATTGTTTGTCACTATCTATAGTTTCTGAATGCTTGTCACTATCACTTGCATGTGTAGCTAATGGCTGGTCAACATCATTGGTTTGTAATAATTTGTTATGATCATTAGTTTGTAATGGTGTGTTACTATCATCAGTTTGTACATGTAATGGTTTGTTACTAAGACTTGTATCCAATTGTTTGTCTTTACCAAATGTAATTAATTCTTTATCACTACCGTTAGGTTCTAATGACTTGTCATTATCACTAGTTTCTAATGGTTTGCCACTATCAATAGTTTCTAATTGTTTTTCAACATTACTTGTTTCTAATTTGTCTTTATCAATTTTCTCCAATTGTCTTTCAATTGCTTCTAATACACGGTCAGTATCAATTCTTTCTAACCGTTTTATACGATCATCATTTGATTCAAATTGTTTGTCAATATATCTAATTTCCATTTGTTTATCCTTCTTACTTAATTGTTTGTTAATATCACAATAATTTGCCACTGATTGGTTGTTGGTGTCAAAAGGACTTGAAGCTGACTGGATGTTACTTTTGTTCTTTTCTATCTGCTTATCATCAGCTGTACTCTCTGAACTGTTATTGTGAACTGTTTCTAACTGAATGTCATTATCATTTTTTTTTGTTGCACTACTTGAACATAGTTGTTCGTTTTTGGAAATGGTTTCTGACTGACTGTTACTATCATTTGTTTCTAATGATTTGCGACCCTTACATTTAACAGTTTCTGTTTTATCCGATTCTTCCTCACTATTTTCTTCACATTTATATTCGTCAATTATAAGGAAACTCCCACTCAAGTCAAAATCATCGTCACATTTCGAATGTTCTATTATTGGAATATTTTTTGTATTCGATTCATCTTCGTAATCAGAAACATCTGTCGTAGACAGTTCTAGATTGTAGTTTTCTTGAAAAGATGGATCTTCTTGTTGAATATTCTGGTTATTTCCTCCCATTTTGATGTCCACAATAACTGAAGCATTTTTTTCTGCATGTCTTTTGGAAGATGCAACATCTTTGTCATCAAAACCAACTAAATTGTCTGATAATTTCATAATGTCATTCCCCTCAATCCTTTCACTTTCTTGTTCAACTCCAACAAAGCTAATTGAAGATATGATTGGTATTTCATTATTTGGTTTAGGTGATGAGCCAATTTCATCAAGGGAAGATGAGTGAATGATATTTAATGCAACATTTTTTGTATTTTTCATTATAGAATCGGTTACACATTTTAATTTTTCAGTTTGATGTTTGATATCCTTATGTCCTGATGAAATGGAGGCATCAGCAAATAATTCTGTAGAAGTTGATTCTTTTTCTGAACTCTCCTCAGTAACTACACTGCAAAAATCATCAAACAGATTTCGAGGTTTTGAATCTTCTGCCATTATTGTTACTTGTAGTGAATACCAAAATCTTGATAGGCCTGCAAAATATATTAAACACATTAATTAATTTAATTCTTACAAAATTTGTTAATAATACAATACTCTTTTTCAAGAGCCATGCAGGACATTCCAGTATTTCATCATATTTCTGAAGCAATGGTATAAATATATAAAGCATTGTCAGGTCATTTAAGGCTGGCTAACTTACATGTTACACTATATATGGTAAAATGGTCTCTCTTCAGCTGAAACATTTATAATAAATAGAGAGAAAGAGAGAGAAATGGGTTTGAGATCCACTCGACACAAACTAGGTCATTTCGGGACTAACACATGGTTCAATTTTATTTCAATAATTTGCTTGCACGTATGGTGTTTTTAGCAGAAGGAGAAAACCCGAGGACCGGAGAAAACCCATGAGGTTGGACAGACGACCCTACTCCTTGTCACATATAACCGGGGAATCGAAACCACACTAGTTGACTCAATGACAGACCTTATGATACAGCGTGCACATATTAACCATTCAGTAGAATAAAGGTGGAGCTGGAACATCTATTATTCACCATACTCCTCGCAGTGTTTCGTTTGATTAGACCTAATCCCACTCAAGCACTGCCTTAATGAAAGCAAATTTCTGTTCCAAATTATGACTGGTCAATAGTTCGTTTAACAACCAATGCCCAATGGATTAACAATGTCATCCGGGTTTAAACAGAGTACCAAATTATGACTGGTCAATAGTCTGATTAACAACCAATGCCCAACTGTGTAATGTAATGTCATTCAGAGCTTCACATTGTTTACATAATACCCGGCAGCCCAGCGAGATTTAATCAAAATATTGAGTCCAAAAGGTTTGAGGTCTACAGTACAACACATATTTTACCCCTAGATCATTTTGGAAAGCCAAGTCTTAAGTTTTGTAACCTGTGCATATACCTGGGAGCGCTCCCCCTAACCCTCCCATATTTAATGGGAGTTAAAATTCAATGTCCATCTACAATTTTTTTGCAAGCGTTTCACACTTAACACTAAGAAACAGAATGCATGACTTAAGAGCATACAATGTTGTGCTAATGCTTATTAAGAGCTTAATTAATTAGCACTAATTAGTGACCGTAATTAAAATTCAGAGTCCATAACTGAAACAAAGCCTAAAAGCTAGTTAACCAAGTCATGAAACCAAAAATATCACTTAAGAGCGACAAAAGTTGAACAAACCTTGCTGAAGACTCGTTCAAAGGTGACAAAGGTCAAAGGTCACTAATGAATGACCATAATTAAAATTTAGAGTCCATAACTGAAACAAAGCCTAAAAGCTAGCTAACCAAGTCAGGAAACCAAAAATATCACTTAAGAGCGACAAAAGTTGAACAAACTTTGCTTAAGAGTGGTTCAACGGTGACAAGGGTCAAAGGTCAAATTTTAGGTCACATAATGACGTTTGAGTGGATTTGATTAAATTGTCTTGTCCGGGATTATTTTTCTTTCTAACGCCATTTCTATGAGTTTCACTGCACAAAATGACTGCTTAAGAGCATGAAATGCTGTACTAATGCTACTTAAGAGCTACTTAATTAGCACTAATTTGTGACCATAATTAAAATTTAGAGTCCATAGCTGAAACAAATCCTAAAAGCTAGCTAACCAAGTCAGGAAGCCAACAATATCACTTAAGAGCAACAAAAGTTGAACAAACTTGGCGTAAGACTGGTGACAAAGGTCATATTTTGGGCCACATTATGACCAATTAACCAATCAACCCATGAAATTGCTTATCTCTGCTTGCCCTAAAGAGACGCGGAAAAACTATGCGACGAATCACTCATTCCTAGGAAATGAAATGCTAAAACTGTTTTTCCATTTATTCTAAATATTGAGAATGGAAGTATAGAACTGGATAACTCGCTGGTTTTAAAAAACACAGACAATTAAATTATGAATTAGACCATATACGATTCGAAACATTTATGTGCTCTCCTCTACGGGTCATTCCATATCAACTGCTGCAAGGTTTTAACCCGACCCCTCCAGATTTTTCCAATTTTTTTATATTTTGTTATGGATCCTTTGAGATGACCATATGCCAAATTACAGGCCTATCGGGAAAAAGGCCGAAATCGGAAGGTTATTTTCCATATAATGCTATCAAGACCGGCTTATACTTACAAGATGTTTGTGCTATATAAGATGTTAATTGCATCAAAACGTCCATTTAGGACAACACGTATATACATTTAATAATACATATAACATAGAAAACACATACATGTACACACAAGTAATACATTCATACATACAGACATGTGATCTCTTGTTGGCTAATAGTCTTGTTTCATCATTTTCATTCTGAAATGAAATGGGGTTTAACGTCCTACTGTTCTGCTCCTACATTGGGCTAATGAAGACTGGCATACGCCATACAGTGTGCTATGAGGGAAATTTTGCCCAGGCAGCGGCACCATCACCTACTCTTATATCGAATTCCAACTGCCAAGGGATCTTTCACGTGCATTCCAATGTATACACGGGACCTCGGTTTTTCGTGTAATCCGAAGGACTAGACAGTTGTCCTTGTCAGGCTCTCCGTCCTGCATCACTGACAAGGGGAAACCACGTCGGAAAATCGGGATGAACTTTCTCGGTCAATGCAGGGATCGAACACCCGACCTCCAGGCTAGCGAGCCAGCGTCACTTGATCCCCATTTTCATTCTATTATGAATAATCACTCCTAAATATTTCCAATTGTAAATTAGATTTATAGATTTACTGTGGAGTGAGGCACGGATTTCGGAATGTGATGCTATTTTGGGCGATTTCGACAGATGCTTCTTAAAGGAGGCATACAATCCCTGCGACAGACCCATGGCAATTTCTAGATATCAAAAGTAGTTTAGAGCTGTGATTAATTACTATATTCGATTTGTGTATTCCACCAATGCTACTTCTATTTATATATATGCGAAGTGGATAATTATTTTGATACAATATTTGTATTGTCATCATTGTGTTCCATACATTTCTGTCTCCTCATTAACTGTATGCTTTTTATCTGTTCGTAACAATATTATATTGTTAACGATTGTAAATATGGATCTGGTACTGTCAAGCTTGATGCCGACTATAGTACCTGTGATTGTTTCCCATAAAAACTGTGTTCTGTCAAAAAAAAAGGGTGTTGATAAGAAAATTTGTTCGCAAACTATTTGATAAGTCCACAATAAATAAATACTTTAATTTTAACAAGCACACACCTGAGATATTATCCACAATCCGAAAGTAATTCAAAATGGCTGTTTCACACACCCCACCACCGTCAAAAACGGAACAGAACAAAACAAGCCGTTCAATTTGAATTGTTCGCGTATTTCACCAAACATAATAAACATGTATTATACATTAGCTAAATCTGTCAGTTGCAGGTATTTCATTAGTTATATGTTATATGATCTATTAATTAGACATGTATTAACATGACAAGACCATAATCAACCCTCGATGACATCTGATGAGTCTGATTTTACACAAATTTAAATCTGATCTGCTGTTCAACAATGCTTGGTGATTAACCGTAAAAATGGATAAGCGAGACTTGCCTATTAATTATCGTTACAATATTAACAATGACAACTGAGTCTACAGTGTTATTGAAATGAGTTTTTTCTTGACTCAGAGTTCAGCAACTTGACTGAAATTATCAGCATATTCTCTTGACATTATCTATTTTTAACCATTATAGCGCGAAGTGTCAGTTCTTTATCCAATCTTTCACAATGAGGCTGAACAATTGATTAGAATATACAATAAAACAAATTCAAAATTGGGCATATTACTTTATACTCATATTACATTAATAATAGGTGCTTTCCGACCCAATTTCGTTTATTCAAAAGAATAGAGCTAATCACCCTTTAAACAGTTCACTCATTGAACTATGTCTGGAATTACTTCTTTAAATTGTATAATGCCTAAAAGGAAGTTTAGTCTCCTTCAATTTTAAAATTCCTTGCTGTACTGATAACTTTGATATACTTACAAGTGCATAATTATTGCTGACATCAACATTATTGTCACCCGCCTTTCGAAGAAAGCAGGGAACTATTAAAATGGGCCTGTTCGTCTGTCTGTTCATCAAGCCATTTGGGACACAATAATTCTTCTTCTAATTGAGGCAGAATTTTCAAACTTGGTGTAGGTGTTGATTATGTGAATGGCTTGATGGAGTTCGAAGATGCACATTTTTATGTTTAGGATAAGAGGAGATAAGCAATTTGATTGGTTGATTGGTCATAATGTGGCCCAAAATATGACCTTTGTCACCAGTCTTACGCCAAGTTTGTTCAATTTTTGTCACTCTTAAGTGATATTGTTGGCTTACTGGCTTGGTTAGCTAGCTTTTAGGCTTTGTTTCAGCTATGGACTCTAAATTTTAATTATGGTCACCTAAAATTTGACCTTTAACCCTTGTCACCTTTGAACCACTCTTAAGCAAAGTTTGTTCAACTTTTGTCGCTCTTAAGTGATATTTTTGGTTTCCTGACTTGGTTAGCTAGCTTTTAGGCTTTGTTTCAGTTATGGACTCTGAATTTTAATTACGGTCACTAATTAGTGCTAATTAATTAAGCTCTTAATAAGCATTAGCACAACATTGTATGCTCTTAAGTCATGCATTCTGTTTCTTAGTGTTAAGTGTAAAACGCTTGCATAAAAATTGTAGATGGACATTGAATTTTAACTCCCATTAAATATGGGAGGGTTAGGGGGAGCGCTCCCAGGTATATGCACAGGTTACAAAACTTAAGACTTGGCTTTCCAAAATGATCTAGGGGTAAAATATGTGTTGTAGACCTCAAACCTTTTGGACTCAATATTTTGATTAAATCTCACTGGGCTCCCGGACTATAACGTTACGTCATGACTCACGAAATATTTACGCACGATTAACCAGTGCATAGTAGTAGAATATTGCAGAAAAACTAATTGCGTGACAAACGAGGCTATCAACGGTTAGTAAAGGTTACAATGTAAACAATACTGTTTGGTGACGAATAATGTACTTTCACTGTTTTTAATACCTTAAATCACTGTCCAAAGTTTTAGGGAAGACCACAGATTAAACGAAGGGCTGTCATGTTTTTGTACTTGGGATAGATTTGATTGAACGGAAAGAATAGACACACTCCCTCAAAAGCACAAGTATCATTCATAAGTTAATCCAGCAATGGCCAGAGAGGGATTTCTCGGGCCATTGCTTCAGGAATATTCACAGGAAAACAGGATACACATCAGGTGTAATAGATTTATTATCAGGAACATGGTTTATACATGAGCTATTTTCACAAAAACGTACCAAATAACGGGAAAAAATGGTGTATCCCCAATATGGGATATAAAATTTTTGCAAACATCAAAAAAAAATTATGTATATATTGTACATCAGCATGGAAGTAACATCTTTGGGACAATATTTTGATAAAGTTATTATTCAAAATAAACTCAGTATATCAAATCATGCGGTCAAAATGTCCATTTCGTTACATGGTAAAACTGCTCATTCCCAACTTTGATCTTGAAAATCTTCTTTTAAAATTGAAAGGTCAGTAAAAATTACTGTGCTTTTCAATTAGCCATCCAATAGAGCTGAATAAATCATCCTATTAGCATTTAAAGAAAATAGAAACCTACTTTATCAAATATTGTTTCTGCTGGCATTTTGAGAACAATTTGTAGTTTTAAATTAATGCTTTGTTAGCGAGGGGTCGTCACTCAAATTGTCTGTCTCTTATATGTTGCTCTGTTCCAATTCAGAAAACATTGACTGATCGAGAAGTTTTCACACAGAAAACCAGGGAATAAGTTTGTTAATTAAAGCACTCTGTGAATATCATGTATGTCTATGCAATGTGGTTGTGAATGAGGGCAGACAGTCAAAGTACATGTATGTATTTTCCTTTATAAATAATGATAACAGAAAAGACTTCTTGTATAGGGATAGATAAACAAAATATTAAAATTGAATTGCCTAATGGCTTTTTGTAGGCTTTCTAATGGTATTGATACATTTAAAGTCAAAATAAGGACTTTGAATTTTTGTCTTTTCCGTTCTGTCTTTACTGATAACATGGTCTTTTACATGGTAGCTGAAAAGACATTCCTAAAAATTTTGGTTTTGTTACATTTTTGTTATTTTGTACTTCCTCTTGAGTTATATAATTCTATAGAATACAGCGAAAATTTCCATAAAAATTCATAATTAAATTTCAATTGGTACATTTTTATAAAAATAGCCCATACACTGCCATACACTAGGTGCCTAGTTATCAAGCCAGACTCATTAGCAGACGTCTGTTGTATCTCCTGTTCTGCTATAATTTTAAATACACATGTAATGAAAGAATCCATATGCCCTTTTTAGTCTAAGTTACTATAGATAAATGTTTGGTATGGCATATAAAAATATGTTTTGTGTCAATAGAGTTTATCATCTCTTAATTCAATACAGATATCCAGCTCCAGTCTAAATTATATTTAGGGATTGCAATTCAATATATAAAATAATATATATGTTGCTTTGCTTTGTAACACGGGGGCACTGAGAGAATTCTTAAGTGCCAGAACAAGACAAATTTTGCCCAACCCCCACCACATCTATGCAGGGACATTAAAGGGGAAGACCAACGATTTTCAATAAGGTTTCCATAAATAATAAATATATATTTAGAAATAATCCCTCCTATACCATATGCAAAAAATAATTTGTAAGCGAGAAATTAATTTTTATTGATACCGGAAGTGACGTAGTTGGTTCGACACGCTCACTGGTCACTATAGTAAACATACAAATTTGGAGTAAGTTTAGCGCTGTATTTTGTGATCGTTTCGCCGTTTGGCAGAAAATCTGATGAAAGGTAATCTTTATTAGGATATTAAGAACAAGAACTTACAGTGTTTTGAAGGTATAATATACAACGCGTTTGTGTAAATTAAGTTTCTAAACCGGACACTGTGACACAATTTAAGCCACATGGCTAATTGTTTACATCACGTGATAGCTGGCACGTGACAGATATTAACCGAACACAAATTGGCGACCTATTCGGCTAGCGACCTATTCGACCGATCCAGCTGGCAACCTAATATCCTAATAAAGATTACCTTTCATCAGATTTTCTGCCAAACGGCGAAACGATCACAAAATACAGCGCTAAACTTGCTCCAAACTTGTATGTTTACTATAGTGACCAGTGAGCGTGTCGAACCAACTACGTCACTTCCGGTATTAATAAAAATTAATTTCTCGCTTGCAAATTATTTTTTGCATATGTTATAGGAGGGATTTTTTCTAAATATATATTTATTATTTATGGAAACCTTATTGAAAATCGTTGGTCTTCCCCTTTAAAGCATAAATTACACTAATATACATTTATGTACCGGTAGGTGAGAATCTGATAAAAAATACTGCCGAACCATGCAATAAATACGGTTTCTAACTATATCCCTTTTAAAAATCAATTACTATACATTTATTTCCTTTTTAAAAAATTAATTAATAAGCTTACTCAAAATATTTGGCACTTGCCACAACTACTGTACCTCCTGTGTTTTAAATTACAAAACAAACAAGAAATGAAATGGGGCTTAATGTTCTACTTTTAAGGGGGGGGGGGCTTATGTCGACCTTGCAACTCAAAGCAACTGGCGTTTCGGCAACTGGAAGCAACTGAAAAAGGTCGACATGAGTGTCTCTTACAACGCTTTGCAATAAGTTGCAGTCAGTTGCACATGTTCAACTTTCTGAAACTCGCTGCAACTAGCGCCAACTAGTTTCAGTCGACATAAGCGGTCTTGCAACTGGTGTCAAATCGTTTCCATGGAAATAACATCACTTGACAAGAGAAATGTGTCGTGTGACTTTATAAATAAGCAACACCCACTTTTCAAATGTTGATGATGTCGACAGTAATATATTAATTGAATTGTGGCAGGTCCGGCAAGTTCTGAGTCTACATAAGCGCTCCAATTTCAGTTGATTTCAGTCGCTCTCAGTTGTCCTCAGTTGCTGATATAATCGACATAAGCACACCTGCAACTGACTGCAACTAGTTGCTTTGAGTTGTAAAGTCAACATAAGCCCCGCTTTACTTGGCTAATGAAGGTGGAACAATGCAAACAATTACACTCCTTTTCAACAAAAATACTGACCAAAAAACCTTACGATGATGGAACCAGGTCATGGTATGGGCTAAATAAATGATACTTCTCCAAAAACAAAACCCCAGGTACCAGGTAGGTCATATTCATAAGTCTGTTTGGCTAAAGTAATTACCACATTTCAACATTAAAGACTTAAAAAATTTTACTTGTGACTGACAGTTTTGTTGTAATTGTATACTTTCTTCCACTTTTTAAGTATTTTTTATACTTAATACTATAAACATTCTTCATATGTGATATAGTTATAGATAAACATTCATCATAGTTCAAGTTATAGGCATGAGTTATAATTTAATGTCAAAAGTGTAAAACTTACTTGTTAATTAGGCCTATATCATCACTACTCACTGTAGTATTAAAAATAACCACTTGCTTATTTGAGGTTGCTTTGTTTCCCGCCATTTGTTTTATTAATACCCTTTTTATTAACCATTTTAAACAAAGTTATCGTCAATATCGATCGACGTCAGATGTACTGGTTTCATTTTCTTTTCAATCAGCCTCATGTTGGTTTTATTATGACACGTGACAAAATGGATGCATTTGGTGTGGTTTAACCTACCCGACAACCAAACTACGTTACATCAACGCTGATATCATGTACTCATAAGTTTTACAACTTTGCACGTGCAAAAATCAAGAACTCGGTAGCATTCACCCATTTAAATTTTAAAAATTGTTCAGAGCTTTACATTTTATAGAAGAATTTAGTCATAGGCTAAACTAAAATGTAAAATTTCATCAAAAAATGATTAAATACTGCGTTTAGCCTACTGGCAGAACTATGACCATGGTCCATGGATGGCTTTCAAACTATACATACACGTGATGCAAATCAGCTACATATTTACTCAAAATCAAACAAAAACAAAAAAATCTTACCACGTTTCCATCAATATAAAAAGTAATCCTTAAAAATATGTGATCACGGAGATTGTTGGGTAAATCTAGCTTGAATATATATTATTTTCTTTGACCAATTATAAAATATTTAAAAATAAAACTTGAGAAATAAAAAGAAATACGTCAAAACAAAGATACCCCACTAGAATAATTGTAACCACAAATTGCAAAAAAAAAACAAAAAAAAAAAACAAATAATAATAACAAGGTAGGCCCAAGTTTTAACTGTAATTATAGTTAACAAGCGTTCTTACTATGTCCATATCTTCTTCCGTATTTAAACATGTTTCCTATGTACAATTTAACATTTCTGGTCAAATATTATTATATAATTATTTTAATCCTAAGCTTGTATATATGTTCCATATTCTACCGTAACTTTAGTCTGGTGACTTACTCGCTCTAGCGATACCTATCTCGTTATTGTGACCGTTAACCAGCTTTTGGACACTCATTATTAAAAGTAGAAGTTTAACTATTTATTCTGAGTTATCATGATCGTCGTTAGTGTTGGAATAAGCTAAAATCCCCAGAAAACAGCACTTTAGCATTAGTATAAATGTAGCATTAGTAATTGGGCAATTGGTGGAGAAAGCGGGTAGGGTATTTAGTTACTCATATTTTCCGGTGGATCCTTTTAGCGATTTAATAATGAAATAAAACCAAGTACGCACAATCCAAACCATAAGACAGAATTCGAAGTCCTAAAAAACGTTATAGGCAAAATAGTGTATTCAAGCAAAATAGTGTAATCAGCAAATGGACTGCTCCTCATGTACAAATTACACGACAAACAGTGGTAACAGGTGTCATAACGACATGGATATGGAACGCTACTTTCCGACAGCAGCTTTGGCCGTCATCAGGTATATGGACACATTACCAGAAACTTGGAGTCTGAGACAGGATTACAGTACCACAGAAATATGTTTTAAGTGGAGCAATTCTACTCATCGTAATCCGGAGAAGAAGCATCGTGATCAACGACGTCATCAAGAATTTCTTACTAGGAAAAGTGACTTTCAGCAGGTATCGTTAATTTCTTCTAAATGAAGTGATACAAATGGGCCCTAAAACTGTTGAAATGTTTGTTGAAACCGACTCAATGCCTTTGTTTTCGGTGGAAACAATGTGTTCTGTGGAAAGTGTGAATCATCGGGGGACCAGCGAATATAGACAGCGTTTGTCTAAATGTAAATCGATGAACTAAGAGCAAAAATGTGAATGCCGAAGTAAACTACCTTCGCAAACGGGGCACAACAGCCGAATCAACCCAGGAAGTTGTCAGAAGACGAATTAAAAAGGACAAACAAGAATATTTAATTCGTTGGGGTGGTCTCTCAACAAACGACGAATTCGTGGGTGTCTGAGGATGCTTTGGATGATTTTACTAAAGTATACTTAAAGGATCACGCGAAAAAAATTCCCGGACCCAAGTTACGTGATCCGTCTTTCGCTCAATATGACGAGCAGTTGCATATCTGAAACACCATGCACGAATGTGACAGATTATGTGACACAATGATCGGACTTATCCGTAATTTGATAGACAATTTGTGTAAATATTACCTTTTATGATTTGTTAATTAATTGGTTTTCTTGCATTTCAATGTAAATTTAACAACATGGTCATACTGATACTTTGCTTCCTTGTTCTAACGATTTTTTTTAATCCATATAAATTTATTTACATATATTATTTGCTTTTAGGTTCAAAAGCTTGTATCTTTGTATATACTTTATTATATAATTTTAGTTAAAGTAGTAATTAACCAATGTCCGAATTGATACCTCACTAATCTTTTAAGTCTTTTAACTGTTTGGGTTAAAACTTATTGTAACGATATATATTACGTAATTATAGTTAACACGCGTTCATTGCTCTGTCCATATGATCTTCTTCTGTATTTAAACACCCGTTTCCTATGTACAATTTAACATTTCTGGTCAAATATTATTATATAATTATTTTAATCCAAAGCTTGTATATATGTTCCATATTCTACTGCAACTTTAGTCTGTCTGATACCTGCTATCTCGTTATTGTGACCGTTAACCAGCTTTTGGACACTCGTATTAAAAGTAGAAGTTTAACTATTTATTCTGAGTTATCATCGTCGTTAGTGTTGGAATAAGCTACAATCCCCAGAAAACAGCACTTCGGCATTAGTATAAATGTAGCATTTACTTGACAATTATGAATTAGCCTATGACGATTTTCATCAGGCCCTAAATCGAGTTTGTGCAAACATTTTTCTTGGAACTCCCGGATTTACGTGGGGCCCTGTTTCACAAAAATTTAAACTAAAATCACTAAAATAGATTTTAACTAAAATCAAACTGAAATTTTAAATTTTAAATGCGTTTCACGAAGATCGATTGTAACTTAAAATGCAATTTTAATAGATTTTAGTTAAAATTGCTTGCGCTCGCGCAGTGCACACTTCCGGTGTGGGCACTAAGGGAGTAAGCATACACGCTTCGGAACTGAAAACTGTTGCCAGGTTGAACTAACCGTTACAATACCAATGAGGAGGGTTTCATACGTTGTAACAATGTCTGCACATGATCAGACAGTCGTTGAGAGATGAAATAAATAAGTTTATTGCGTGTTATTCGTTTTGAAATGTATCAGTTGGTTGACCTTGAACTTGCATGTCGCTTTCGTGACCTTGGCATTTGATTTACTCGCAGGCATCAATGGAAATAATGCGTATCAATAAACTAAATCGCTTAAATTTCGTAGTTTTATGGTATTTTGGATAACAGAAACTATTGAGAAATTGTCACAAACATGTGATATTTCTGACTCAAACGATTAGTCTAGATTCTAGACTAAAGTATTGTCGATTTTTAAAAGTATTTTTAATAACATTTAAACTAATACACGAAATAACCAATGTTCCGATGCCTAGATTTGAAATGTCAGTCCCATGGACCCTTTCAATAATAATTTGAAAATGCCAAAGTGCCACACTCCTTATTGGATAATGCCTATAATACTAAATTAAAAATGATTTTTTTCCCAATATAAAATACTCTTGGCTCCTATATAAATCATCATAACCCCAAAACCATAAATACTTTGCATATGGCGTATCTAGTATTGTAGGGCTGGCGGGGTTTCGATTCCCAGGTTGTACGTGACAGGGAGTAGGGTTGCCCGTCCAACCTCGTAGGTTTTCTCCGGGTCCTCCGGTTTCCTCCCACTACTAAAGACCCCTACCATGGGCGCAGATCCCGGTGGGGACACCGTCCCCATCAGTATATCATGTCCCCACCACTTATTTCCGATGTTTTGCTTACTGTTTATTTTTTGAATTGAAATCATTCCAGAGCTTTTATTGACATTTCAGAAAGTGTAGAGTTGGTACCAGGCACTTGAGGTCAGGGTCCTTGAAGTTGTACAGCTGCACCCGGTGACCGATTTTTATTTAAACATACATTATGCAAGAGCTAAATCTGTTTATTGCAAGTCTTTATTTAGGCTTCAGGTGTCATAGAAATTATAAATTAGATCTTTATTTACACAACAAGCACAAAATCAACTCTGTAGACCCACGGATGGCTTGGATTCAGCTTGGATTTAAACGGGATTTCGTTGACTGATTTAATTTTAAATGGCATCGTGAGCGGATATATTAACCGTTACGTTGACGTCATACTCCCGGATCGAGGCTAAATGATAGAGTGTACGAAGCGAGGCCGCTGTTGAGCGATGCCTTAACAAATGACACCTAAACTATTTAAAGTGCAATAAACTAAACACAGATAATGAAAATTATACAATTCCTGGAGACCGTGTGATGACTAATACAGGCGGACAGGTCTTCTGTCTTAATAATATCAATAAAAATATTTTTATTTCCCCAATAGGCACGACGCCACTGGTGTATACCTATGGATTTATCATAATTGTATTATAATATTATGTCCTATATTCAATTGATTTAATGCATGGCCAAAATACAAGTAAGAATGAAAATTTACCCTCTCACTCATTTTGTCCAATTGTTATAAAAATCCAAAAAGGTAAAACACAAATTCGGATATGATGACAGCAGACAAAGGATTATGTAGGTGGAGTTAACGCCTGTCAATTAAACGATCGGCCATACTAAGAATCGGTGAAGATGGAATTCAATCCCATTTCTAGTCAAAAATTACACTGGTGATAACTATGTTCAGAAAAAAGTAATTTGACTGAAATTTTCAATATATTATTCTTCTTTCATCATCTATTTTTGAACTGTTATAGCAAGAATGGCTAGCTCCTTATAAAAATCTCCCATAATGTATCTTTAACAGGGAATAAGTTATAATTCATATTATAACAGTAAATAATTAAAATATTCCATAGGGATTATAATAATATGTATATCATGCAGGTGTGCATATCTGATACGCTTTGGTATTAAAGGGTTAAGGAATAACTGAGATTTTGTTTTTATCTGGTATACTGGATGATAAATCACGCAAATTATAAGATTCCAAACACCTAATTTCCAACATAACATCACCACTGTCACATTCAATATAGATAATATAATACAACTGGTACTATGCGAATCATTAAAATAGCTATGG